CCCGTTCTATCCAACGATTTGGGAAGTGTTAGCCGCAGTTACGATAAATCCATCCGTTAGCTCTCGCGAAATCGAAAGACAAGCTGGAATTAGCCGCAAAAGCAYTTTACGCATACTGAGAAAGCACAAATACCATTCATATCATGTATCAAAGGTTCAAGAACTGACCGCAATTGACTGTTATAAACGTTTAGAATTTTGTAATTGGGCTCTCACTCAAAGAGACAACTGTTTCATTTTCCGGCTAGGTCACCAGATCTAACGYCCCTCGACTTTTTCTTATTGGGCTACTTAAAAAATAAAGTTTACGCTGAGCCTCCGACTACAATGGCCAATATAAGGGATCGTATCGTCAATGAATGCAAGGAAATAACATAAGATACATTAAGAAACGTTAATGAGTCATTAATTTCTCGATTCAGAAAGTGTTCTGATGCAAATGGTCGCCATATTGAAGCTTTTTTGTAAATAGACAAAAATTAAAATATCTCCTAAAGTAATAATTTTTTTACATAAATAGGTTAATACTTTTTTGTAAATAATATGAAAAGCAATAAAAAATAAATGATTCCGTTTAAAGAAACATTAATGACCTTCATATGTCCTTGACACGTCCACCTAAAAAAAAAGTACAATCATTAATAGCCCCTTTTAAATCCATTCAACTCTATGTGAAACATTGTCTGCTACGTGTAATAATAAAAACATAAATCAAGGTGGTAAAATGTGGTGACCCACCCTGTATATATGTATATATAAAGCAAATGAACCATAGATTTAAAATAGAACAGAAAGAAAGAAAATTAGGGATGCATTAAATGCTACAAATTATTCAATAAAAATAGTTAGTTATTAAGCTTATTAAATCAATACATGCAAATTAAAAATATATTCAAGTTTAATGTGTTACATATAATAGATTTCTACTTTATCACACAGAAAGTGTAAAAGAATATTGCATTGCTGAAAAATGTAAAGCTTTACCTGTTTTTATAGCAAGTTCTTCAGCTTCCACTACAATTAACCGAAGATAGCCTTGTGGTGGTTTTCTACAAACTATAACCATGCAATATTTTGTTAGTAAGTGTAACGAGCAA